CATGAACATATCACGATGAATTATCAGTAGCTAATTATTTGTAGTAGACATGTTGGTGTTCATTCAAGCTTTCATCTGCTTTCTTAACAATACTTCCTATTTGCAGTTGAAAATGATCATTTGAAAGGTACGAGATCGTATGGATTGGGAATTGGTGTTGAGGATTTCAGAGAGCCCAGGTTGCAGTCTGTCACATATATATGATTCTATCGCTAGTAGTATCATGAACTAAACCAATATGTTTTGTTTACGAATATTCTGATTAATGTTGTACTGATAAGACTATTTCCTTTCTTAATGCAGATGCCAAACACTTGATCAAGATTGTAAGGTGTTGAAACAACATGGGATGGACGTCGATGGAAAGGAGCGTGTCCTCGAGTTTGACTTTGGTCCTGGCAACTATGACAATTTACCAACGGGGTTGAAGCCTATCGACAAAATATTGTAATTGTATAAGCTCTTACACTTATTTTCTGGGCCTGTAGTCGGAAAGCCCATATAAACTATAGTTACTAAGGGAATTAGATTAGTTGACCCACTACTTTGATAAGGACAATCATGTGATGAGACGAACTGTCATTTACCTTGAAATACAATGTAAATACAATGTTCTTGTACGCAGTTGTATATCAAATGTTCTAGAAGTAGTTCTTTAACTGTCAGTAGGCGCAGGTGATCCGAGTTCTTTTTTTTTTCCTTGAAGTTGGCCCAGTAGCATCTCAAATACTACTTGTTTCGTTACAAAAGAAAGAGGGTTGCGAGGTTGATATTCGGAGAACTAGGCAAAAACTGTCACAGCAGCCCCCTGCCCAGAACTGATCATCACTCCTCCGTGATCCAACAACTCAAATTGCACCATTGATGACCATCAATAAAACCCTTGCCGAAACTAATCTCGGAACCGATGCCACCCTATGCCAAACACACAACCAGCCGTGCATCCGAACACCCATATCACGCCATCGTCATGCCTATGCAACTCCTTAGCAGCTCCAACTCTACAAAGACAAGGTGAGGCACGAGGACCTCTTGAACATACCGGAAGACAATCCCAAGTAAGTGCAAGGAAAACCCGAGATTGGGCATCCCAAAATAGCAACAACTTCAGCAGTGTCTCCTAGCTCATATTTATGGGCACAAAGGCGCCTTTGTTGGAATTGATGTGCATATCAGTGAAATCAGAGAGCATTTTGAGAACTCTCTTGATAACACGAGCATGATGAGCAACAAAGTATCATCAACACTAGAGGGTGCTTAGCAGAAACCCCTTCATATTCCTTGTAGCATAACCATGGAAGCAAATCTGCAACCAGGATAAAGAGATATGGCGATAGTGGATCTTCCTGCCTAACTCCACATTGGGACTGAAACTGTTCCCTCATTTCCCCATTAATTAGTACGTGGGCTCTGCTTGTTCTTAGCAACATGCCAATCCAGGATCCCCATCGATAATCAAAGCCTCTAGATGTCAAGATGGCCAAGAGAGAGCATCCTAGTTAACCTGTCAAAAGCTTTGTGAAGGTCTAATTTGAGCACCATCATCGACATTCCCCCTTTCTGGCACACTGGACTAATTCCGACACAGGAGCAAAATTTTCAACAATGGACCTTCCTTTTAGAATGTTAGGTTGGAGTGAATGCGCAAGATAAAAGGAAGTCGATGTAGCCAAACTGATAAAACCTTCGTATTTAGCTCTGGAACACTAAATACCAGAGAGATAGTCCTATAATCCTTGATTTCCAGAGGTATTTCCACTTTTGGCAGGTGCGTAATGAACACTGTGTTGATGCCACGCAAGTCAGTATTTTTGAGAAAAATCTTGAAAATAGTGTTTGGAGATGAATTGATAACAGAAACAATTTTAGCCCAGGTAAGAGGTTCAGACATGCTGCTAAGATCGGTCATATCATAAATGGCAGGGACCTGTAAGAGACATCGAGAAGGGACACCTAGAATACTCACTCCATTCATTTATATAAGGTGTATTTGTTTTTTGATAAGGTGCATTTCTTATAATTCCCTTGTTAGCCCTCTATAAAAAGGAAAGTATCTCTTTCCTGATTGTCTTTATCTCTCCTCGTATCAAAAGAAGTAAACTATCTCTATGTCGATTGCATGCATCTCTTACTTTTCTGGACTAACTGATTTACTTGCCACTAACCAATAAATTTGCCAAGGGTAATTTCGTCCTAACACGCCTATAATTATGTGCCTTGGTCACCGTGTCAAAAATAATAACCTTAGATAAAGGAACGGAGGGAGTAATAATTTGTGGCAGTATGTAGTTAATCTCTGATGTCATAATGCTCCACTCCATCACTAACCAAAAGCCTGGTCTTATTTCTTTGAGCCTGGAAGTTAGCTGCAGCATGAAAGAAATGTGAATTTCCATCTTCCAAATTACACCAATTGATTTTTGCCCGTTGCTTCAACATCATAGTCAGCCATCGAATTAGTTCCTTCGCTTTAAGCAAAGCGAATTTCCTGAGAATGAACTCCAGGGAAGAGAGAGCCCTCCTTTCCCCAATGGCCTTGATATATTCCACTACATTTTTTTGAGAAATGATATATTACACTACATACTTGTTGTTATCAATGAGCAGGTGCAGCCCAGCCTTTTTCTTAGCCCAAGGCCTAATGGCAGCCCAAGTCGGCCTCATCTTAAACTGATCAAAGATGCAGAAGAGTAAAAAACTCAAGACCCCCTCTTCCATCTGTCATCAAACATTTTTCTGACTTCATCCATCTCCAGCCAGTAGTTATTTTTTTTAGAAAAGGAGGAAGACTCCGGCCTCTGCATCTGGGCGATGCATACATCCATTTTATTAATTATTAACGCAAGACCTTACAAAGTCATACAACAATAAGACTAAAGCCACGTCTAAGCAACATCTGTCGCTACTCCTATCCAGTTGATGAAGGGGCGTTGATAGTCTGGGCCTAATACCAAATAGACCTCGCAGCCAAACCTAACATCTAAGACCTGAGGTCCTAACCAGGACGCCTACCGGGTATGGGCACCCACCAGTCAGGCGTGCTCCTCAACCAGGATGCCTGCCGGATATGAGGCACCCCAAAGACACATCAATTGTCTTATCCGTGTGCGGTGCCCCCCTCCACCATTTACTCCTCCGATCATATTGTCTAGTGCTTAGGCGAAGCCCTGCGCGGATCACTTCACCAACACCATCATCACACCGTCATGCTGACGGAACTCATCGACTCCTTCGTGCCTCTACTGGATCAAGAGTTCGAGGGACATCATCGATTTGAACGTGTGTAGAAATCGGAGGTGTCGTACGTTCGGTACTTGATCGGTTGATTCGAGAAGACGTTCCACTACATCAACCGCGGTAAATTAACGCTTCCGTTTTTGGTCTATGAGCGTACGTGGACACACTCTCCCCTTTCGTTGCTATGCATCTCCTAGATAGATCTTGCGTGAGCGTAGGATTTTTTTTTTGAAATTGCATGCTACGTTTCCCAACAGTATGAAACGACTTCGGAACTTGCAAAGTTTAGGGTGAGTGTTTCCTGAATGATTATCTGTTTGTGATCCTCGGATCTTTGATATTGCATTCTTTTCCTTTATAAGTTTTTCCTAAATGGTTTCTTTTGGAAGGTTTCTAATGAGCCAATAGTAAAGCATGCATTGTGATATGTCGGTTTCTCCTTATTTTCCCACTGAGTTTTTGGAAGGAGTTTTTGATGGCATAGTGTACATATCTCCTCATATTTTTCCTACAGGGTTTTTGGAGGAGACTGATCATGATGATGATGATGATCAAGATGTTGATGATGATGTTTACAAGAATAATTGAAGCAGAGATTAGGGGGAGTGTTAGGACTACTTATTTAGTTTAATTAAAGGAAATCCCTGCTTAGCAAAACTGATGTGCGGCTTCTCTCCCGATGGGTCACTCCTAATGTAACAGACGCGTCCTTCTAATCTTGTCTCTTGTAAATGTTGCGACTGTGCGACATGTCCCCTCCGGACATATAAATATGTACATCATTGCAATCAATCAACAGAGATCATTACTGTTCATTAGCCTGTTTCTTCACAGATCCGATCTACAGTGGTCCTCGGGCCTATGTGCTAGAGTCCACTCCATAGGATCTGCAGCTACCCCGGTACGTACATGATGGCTACATGTCCGACTACACCGAGCCGAGCATCACAGGACCTAGCCAACAACAATTCTTCACCGAGCCGAACGACTACATCGACCGATCTGCACTGCATCAAGCCGATCTACACCGACCTCGCGCGTCAACACCGAGCTATATGACTACATTGTATAAAAAAATCTTCGTCGAGTACATCTACAAGAAGTGACATCAACATGCATCATCCACACGCCAGGCCAGTGTAGAAAGAGAAGCAATTCTTCATCGACTTCTCCGGCATGACACGACATCGACACATGGCCATCACCGACACTTCATCGCCACGGTCTTCATCAATGTGGTCTTCATCACCATCATCGTCAACACCGCCGCCATCTCCTCCACAAGATGGATACCTAGCATCCTCTAATAGGCTTTTTTCTGCAAGACGCGATCTGGACGACG